GGATAAGGTCAAGATCATTCAGGACAGGCTTCGTTCGGCTCAGTCTCGGCAAAAGAGTTATGCGGATCGTAAGGTTCGAGATGTAGCTTTCATGGTTGGTGAGCGGGTCTTGCTCCGAGTGTCGCCTATGAAGGGCGTGATGAGATTTGGGAAGAAGGGCAAGCTTAGCCCTAGGTTCATTGGCCCATTTGAGATTCTTGATCGTGTGGGGGAGGTGGCTTACAGACTTGCCTTGCCGCCCAGCTTGTCAGCCGTGCATCCAGTGTTTCATGTGTCCATGCTTCGGAGGTATCACGGCGATCCAGCCCACGTGTTAGATTTCAGCACTGTCCAGTTGGACAAGGATCTGTCTTACGAGGAGGAGCCGGTAGCTATTCTAGACCGGCAGGTTCGACAGTTGAGGTCGAAGAGTTTTCCTTCAGTGCGTGTCCAGTGGAGAGGTCAGCCTCCTGAGGCATCGACCTGGGAGTCCGAGTATGATATGCGGAGCCGTTATCCTCATCTATTTCCCGACTCAGGTACTTCTTTCTTTTGTCCGTTCGAGGACGAACGGTTGTTTTAGAGGTGGAGAATGTGACGACCCAAAGGGTCATTACCGGATTTCTCTCTTTTCCGTGCTTCCGAGGCCTTGAAAACCTCGCTTTTGGGTTGCCTCGATTTGCGTGCGCAGTCCGGGCGCGAAACCGGAAAGCTTTTATGTTGAAATATGTGAACTTTGTGAAAAATTTGAAGAATTTTGATATTAATATCGCTAAAGTTGACTTTGGTCAACATTTTTGGTAAACTGACCCGGACCCGTGATTAGGCGGTCCCGGAGGGTCCGTAGAAAAATATGAGACTCGGGCATATGCCCGGAGTCGAATTTCGAGGTCGAGAGCCCGAGAAATAAATTTTTCTGTGAAATTATTTTTCTGAAATTATTAAGGAAAATGGAATTGAAAATTGATTAAAAGACTATGGTATTGGGCTCGTATTTTGGTTCCGACGTCCGGTACAAGTCTTAAATATGTGTTAAGTGCTTTCTGTAAAGTTTGGTCGAAATCGGATGTCATTTGACATGTTTCAGACCTAAATATCTAAAATTTTAAGTTATGAAGTTTGAAATGAAAATGATGATCTTGAGGCTTGATTCGATGGTTTTTGATGTTATTTTGGCGATTTGATCGCTCGAGTAAGTTCGTAGGATGTTATTGAGTTAGTGACACCAGATCTGGGTAGAGGTGTATTTGAAATTCCGCACTTGATTTCTGTTATTTATGTTTCGAGACTTCCGCTTTTATATTAATTGCCTCGTTCTTCTTTACACTGATAATGATGTTGAGAGAAATATTAAACTAATTGGCTTGCCTAGCTCCTATTAGTAGGCGCCATCACGACTCCCGAGGGTGGAAAATCCGGGTCGTGACATTTAATTTATTTTATTTTCTAAGCTTATGATTTATAAATATCCTCACATTATCTCTAATTTATTTCTATTATTCAATATTTTTAGTTTTTGATTTTATCTATTAGACTTGAGTTTCGTGGACCTATTCATATTATGACTTTTCTTATCATAATATAAAAAACTTTCTCATCTCAAATTCAAATAAGTTTTACCGTTTTTTTCTATGATAAAAAAATCTAAAGAAAAAAAAAATTATCGATTTTTTTTATATTATATTATTCAATACTTAATATTGTTACATTGTCATGTGGATTTTTATTAGCTTGTTTGTATTTAATATCTATTTATACCACTCTCTTTCAAATATAACATAGATAAAAATTTAAAAACTTTCTCAAATTCAAATAAGTTTTATTATTCTATTTTTTAAATTTGACTACATTTTCAAAAAATTATGTTATGCTTTCAAACTTAAACTAACTACACTCAATTCAAATATTAATCACAAAAAGATATTTTCTTAATTGTTTGAACCCATTATATCTGAATGTTGTAGTAATATTTACGTATAAAATATTCGTTTGCCCGATTTATCAATATTAATATGACATTATTATTCTTGTTATTAAAATATTTTTTACTAATTATTTATGTTTTTTCTTACCTTATAAATAATTTATATACTTTATGTAAGATCTTATTTTGCCGCTTGAATTTATTTAGTTTTTAAACTTAATAAATCTTTAATATCTTAAGTAAATTTTAAAATTATTTTAACTTACTTCAAAGTATAAATAGTCACAGGTTTTCTAAATCTGCGTCTTTCTATATTTTTTTATATTTTTTTCTATTATAATTTTTAGTTAATTTTTTACCTCCACATTTCTAGCTAACATAGAAAAAATATCTATGGGTGGATCAATATAGATATAAATAGAGATATATCTACAAATATACATATAAATATAAATATAAATGTAGATATATAGATTAGATTTGTCTAAAGATTTATTTAGATTGAGTATAAGATTTATTAAACTACTTACATTAATTATGTTTCCATTTATAATTCAAATTTTTAATGTTGTCTTAAAATTGCCAAGTGGCTTCTTTTTAGCTTGCCACTTGGCTCATGCTTCACTATATTATTTTGTTATTAAAATATTTTTTTACTAATTATTTAAGTTTTTCCCTACCTTATAAATAATTTATATACTTTATGTAAGATTTTATTTTACCGCTTGAATTTG